TTCAGTATGTAAAACTAAATTATTGTTGGAACTAATAAAGAATTCGAAGAAGAAGAAGAATGAGAGTTGTTCCATGTTTTCAAGAAATGAGAAATATGTGTATTTGGATGATTTCAAGAAGTTGAAATATTAAGTGGGGAACATTAAATAATGATATATTGGTAAAGAAATACAATAAAATATTCTATATTAAGAAACTGACCTATATATTTGAAATAAGAAAAAAAAAACCCAACTTTTGAGAAGGTTGGAGTGTTAGATTTAAGAAAGAGTAATCCTACGTAGGATCACTGATTACAAGGGTCAATCGGTTGAATGTGACGGAAGAAAGTCAAATTCAGTATTTACTACAACACTATAAATAGAGAACCAGGTGACGACTTGCAATCGTCAATAGAAAAGATTCAACCTTTGTATTATAGCATTTTGAAATTATTTTTCATCTCGATTAGAACAAAATTTTCGTTCCATGAAAATATGCTTGTTTATTTTTACACAAATTAAGAAAACTTAATTAATATATGTTGAAATTATAAATTTTATACACATTTATACTCATACATTAAATAATGACAGTTTATATTTGTTAATAAAAAGGTATTAAATAGGAGTATATTGCTAAATTAAGACATCAATTATACTCTTAATAAGGAAAATAGCATATAATTTGGAACAAATAAAAAATGTGGGACAGAGGAAGTACATTTTTCATTGATATGATGAAACCGAGAGGAGAAGTTCTTATTTTCATTATATGATTTTGTACGAAGCGTTAATAGATAGATTCCATCATTGATTAAATGCAAAAATATTAACAATATATAATAGCGTGTAGAATCCGAACAACAATTATGTAAGCTAACACCACTTGTTAGGAATAGAAGAAGCGAGATTATATGCAACAATATGGAGTAGTAATTACAACATGAACAATTGACAAATGAACAATAATTATGTAAGCTGATACCACTTATTAGAAATAGAAGAAGCGAGATTATATGCAACAATATGGAGTAATAATTACATCACGAACAATTGACAAATGAATGAAAACATTTACT